CTCTCTCTCTCTCTCTCTCTCTCTCTCTCTCTCTCTGTGTGTGTGTGTGTGTGTGTGTGTGTGCGTGTGTGTGTGCAGGGTACCAGGTACTAACCTGCAAAAGGTGTCGCCTTGATGCAGGTATGGACGCACAGAAGATGAAGCTGGAGCGCCGGAGCCGACAGGTAAGTCCTCAGGTAATAATCCCGTCTCTCTCTCTCTCTCTCTCTCTCTCTCTCTCTCTCTCTCTCTCTCTCTCTCTCTCTCTCTCTCTCTCTCTCTCTCTCTCTCTGCTGCCATGTACTGCAGCTGCGCTATACTAGCGCTGAAGCCGTACTGCTGAGCTGTGCTAGCGCTGGAGTCCTACCGCTATCGTCGACTACTACTACTACTGAACTGTACCGCCACGAAGTGCCTGAAGAATGAATGCTGCCTCCTAGGGGGACCAGCTATATATAGCGCTGGTCCGGCAGGGAGGCTGCTCTCACCAATGCCGAACGGCGCCAGTATCTGGCGCCCACAAGTCTGGCACCTAAGTTGGCGCTCAAATTCAAATCTTCGAATTTGGAAAAGGCCTGAAATGGCCTGGGCGCCTACTGGACCTCTACCGGGGTCTGGCGCCAAAACGGGCGCCAGGGCCTACCTACTGGGCCTACCGACCTACGGGGCCTACCTGGGCCGAAACGACACAGGGCCTGAAGGGTCCCTGCCTATACTGAAACGACACAGGGCCTGTAGGGCCCCCTACCTAAACCCCTAGCCTACCTGGTCGGGCCCTGCAGGGGCCCGCTTGGAACTCAGAATGCCACACTCCCCCCTCTTTGAAAGACCGAGCTTACCTGCGAGGGCGAAGCTCTGTCGGAGGGAGGGACCGAAGTCCATGTGGGAGGGGCAGGTTGCAAAGCTTCCTTAGCTAGTCTTTGTCGCTCGTAGTGGGCGTAGATCAGCAGTGTGGATGCTTGCAAATCTGCTTGCGAAATCCATGGTGTGTTGTCGTGGTCGCAACGTTTAAATGTGACCTTGTACTACATCGGCTTGTTGCCGTACTTGCAGTGCATGACGACGCGATCGAACTCCTGATGACCATCCATTGACGAAGAGTCCTGCTATCGTCGGTCCGAGAAGTCGTCGCTCTTGGCTGGTGTATACCTAGCCAGTTTGGAGGCGTGGAAGACCAGGTGGACCGGTAGATGCGGCGGGATGTTGATCACAAATGATGGGCCATCGGCCTCGTTGCCCGCGGCCGATGTGACGGTCCACGGTCCAAACCACTTGGGGAGTGGCTTGCACGAAACGTTTTGTTTGAGCGCAAACTCTTCCGCGGAGACCCAAACAAGGTCGCTGGCGCGGATAGGACGTGGCACACGGCGCCGATTGGCTTGCTGTTGCATGCGGACTTTAGCCTTTTGCATGTTTGCAGGGGCTTTAGCCAGCAGGTCCCGGTACTGCCGAACGGAGGCGGGAGAGCAAGGGGCGTCAATGTTGGCAGTCCGTGGAAATAAAAGATCAGCGAAGATATGGCCTTTCTGCCCACCATGGTGCAACTCGAATGGAGTCGCGCCGATCGCCGGATGCAACGAAGTGTTGTAGGCGAACTCAATGTCGGGGAGGCGGTCAACCCAATGCTTTTGATCTAGACGGATGACCGTACGGAGCATCATTTGAGCAGTTTGATGTGCCCGCTCCGTTTGCGCGTGTGTTTGTGGATGCCGAGTCGAACTCGGTTTCATTTCGGTGCCGGACTCCTTCATGAGAGAAGTCCAAAATGTCGACATGAAGTGAGTGTCGCGGTTGCTGACGATAGCCTCCGGAACGCCGTGGCTGCAAATCCAGCCGGTGTGCAAGAGTCGCTCCAGCTCGGGAGCCGTGGCGTGATACTTGCAAGGAAGAAATCGTGCGTACTTACTCAAACGGTCAAGGACCGTGAGATGCCCGAAGCGATTGCATGGGAATGAGACGGTGACATCCATAGCAATGGAGAGGCCGGGTTCCCGAGGGATAGGCAACGGGCGCAATTCGTCGTAGGGATTGCGATTGCGGGGTTTGCTCCTTCGACAAACTTCACAAGATTCGCAATACCGAGTGCCACCGAATCATTGTCGAAGTCTTGTGATCATACGGTTGACTTCAAAGTGGCCAGCGCGTCACGAGTCGTGGTACTCGCCGAGAAGGCGAGTCCGTAGTCAACGGTCTCATGGGACGCATAGTAAGTCCTTGCCTAGTAAATGAAGAAGCAAGTAGCCGTCGACGATGCGATAGTGGCAGGCCGGCAGGTGATCCGAAGAAAGATGCTCGTAAAGAGTGGCGTAATCTGGATCCGACTTGTATGCGCACACAAAATGCTGATGAAGGTCGTCGTCGAAGTCCAACACATGATGGATCGTTGCTCAAAGATTTGATCTTCATGAGAGAGCATCCGCAGCTCGGTTTGAGAGACCCAAAATGTGTTTCGGTGTGAAGTCAAATTGATCGATGAAGTGCATCCACCGAGCAATCGTGCTACTCATTGTGTCTTGCATCTTGTAGTAGGTCAATGGGTTGTTATCGGTTGCCCAAGTGAACCTAAGACGCCCGAGGACGCTTAAGTACCGTTGTCGGGCGGCTGCCTACCAGCCGATCGCTCTCTTTTTTTTAAGCAAAGACTTTTTTCCTTTTTGTTTCTTTTGTTTTCACATGTTTTTAAGAATGTGTATGTGGCAACGGGGTTTTGAGGATAGCTGGAAAAGCAAAGAAAGAAAGAACAGCTCGACACCGTGATGAATGCAAGCAACTCCTTCTGCACATCATCCATCGAGTTGATGGGAGGCACCTTTTGGCTGAAGTACTCAACCGGATGCCAATCTACTCCGTCATGTTGTTTCAAAACTGCACCAATGTCGTAGCTGAAAGCATCCGTAGTCACTCTCGTTGGCAAGGTGGGATCGTAGATACTCAAGACGGAGAGAGGAGCAACACCGTCTTCAATTTGTGGAACGAACTTCGGACTTCATCGGTGAAGTGGAAAGGCACCTTTGGAGACTGTAATTTTGGCAAAGGTACAGCGACCCGTGCGTATCTGCCGATGAAGTGTTGATAGTACCCAGCCAATTGCATGAAAAGTCGAACCTCCGTAGTGTTGGTCGGTTCTGGCCAATCTTGAATGGCCTTGATCTTGTCTGCGAGCAGCCTTGTGGCGTCACAAAGTGGCCCAAGTACTTGAGCTCTTTTTGCACGAATTCGCATTTGGCTCTGTTGGCCTTGTACTTGGCCGTACGTAATCTGCCCAAAACGACACGTGGATGCGTGAGGTGCTTGTCCAAAGTCCAACTATACACCAAAATGTCATCGAGGTAGATGAGCACGGAACGGTCCAACATGTCGCGGAACTCCATCGTCATTGCTGCTTGGAAGGTGGTCGGGGCATTCGTGAGGCCCAATGGCATTACAACCCACTTGAAGTGCCCTTATCACGTTTTGAACGAGGTCTTATACCGATCCCGTGGATGGATCTCAATTTGGTGGTAACCCAACTTGACGTCCAACTTGGAGAACTACGTGGGGCCGCCCAAACGTTCGAGAAGATCGTCGATTCGCAGGAGCGGGCCAGCATTCTTAACGGTTTGCTCCTTAAGTTTGTGGTAATCAATGCAAAGCCGCAGTTTCTTGTTCTTCTTCTGGACGAAGAGAACGGGAGAACCGTAGGGTGAGAAGCTGGGATGTATCCAGCCCTTTGGCAATGAGGTCATCGAGTTGCGTTCAAAGCACTTCGAGTTCCTCTTCACTCATGCAGTAAATACATCCGTGTGTATGGCGCCATCTTCGAGGATGATCTCGTGACGAATTGGCCGATACAGTACGATTCTGGCGGGAGCTTCGAAGACGTCGCTGAAGGAGTCAAGAAACTCTACAATGCGTGGGTCAACTGGCACTTTCATTGTTTGTTCGCCGGGAGAAGGGAGGGCGTGCAAGAAGCAAATGCCCATTTCTTCCACACCTTGCCATTCGATGGCGTTGCGTATGCTTGCCACATAGACCAGGTGACAACAAATTGAAGGGTGAGGCGGAGGAACCATGCATGGGATGAGTATCCCGTTCCGATCACGAACGTGAACGGTGCGACGATAGAAGTTCGCTGGGTGGTCCTCGCTTCGCAGCCACGACATGCCCAAGATCATGTCGAACTTTGTGTCCAAAACATTGAACGACACGACCGCGCGTGTGTGCGGGGCAAAGTCCATGAGCGACACGTAAATGCACCGGTCAATGGACTTATGCTTGTGACCGTCGGCCAATGTGACTTGCATGGGCTGCGACTTCCTTCGAACTCGCGGCCTGAGGCTGGCGCGCACCATGAAGTCTT